GGCTGGGCACAGCCCAGCATGGCAGGTGGCAGGGGATGGAGAGCACACCCTTTCCATGAGGCCAAAACCTTACAGTGCAGCTGGATCAGGCAGACCTCAATGCCTGCCCGTGGAGGAGCCAGGATCTGTCCCTTCTGTGGCCACTGCTTTCCAAGCACTGGGTGGGCAGCAGGAACAGGGCACTCCCAAGCCAGGTCCTGATGGGACTGAGCCCTCCTCTGCTTGGCTGTGTGTGGCCCAAGCACTAGGGCTGGACCAAACTTCCCTATGTGAGACCTGGGGTGGACCCAAAGGCTGTTAAACTCAGCAGAGCCCAAGTGACAGGCCTACCCTGGCAGCTGGGAGATGACCAGGTTGGCTGCCCTAGCCATAAGCAGTGTGGCTGAGGAGGGAGAGCCCAGCACTACGTACACCCCAGCACTGCTTGCACCCTGGTGCTACTTACACCACAGCCACAGTCAGGGAACAACCATGACGCCAGAGGGCTGAAGGTCCAGGGCAACTGACACAGGGTGAGTGATGGGGTCAAGGACAGTGCTGGAGAAATCCACAAGAGGGTCCCAAAAAGGCCCCTCAGCAGAGGTGTAGTGACCCTGGGATAGGGCTCCCTCTCCACAGCCTTGCACATGGAGTGGGCTGGGGGCACCCGGACTGCGGGACGTGCCTTGACTGGGACACAGCCCTGCAGCCCCTCTGACCCTTGGCACAGTCCTACTGCCTGCCCTGGCCTCCGTTAACCATTAAGACCTTGCTCAAGGCACGCGCCAACACCGTGTCTCAGTGCCCTGCTCCCGTGCTGGCACTGCCTGGGTTTGCCCAACGCCTCTGTACCTCTCGGTGGCCCCTCTCCCACACCTGTAGCCCCTCTCCCATGCCTGTGGCCCGCCCGTGTGGAGGCCAGGCGTGCCCAAGCCACCGCTGTCGCAGTGTCGTATCTGCTGGCTTTTCCCGGCTGGCTGGTGCCCTCTCCTGGGGAGCAGCACAGCTCCGTGGCACCCTGGCACCTCATGCCTTTTGGGGGCCTGCTGGGACACAAGGGTGCTGGCAGGGTGACAGTGCTGGCTGGCAGGCATGTCCCACCGCTCCTGGGTCTCCAAGGGAGCAGATGGAGAGACCTGAATCTGGTCCTTTCCTGTATCCCAAGGAAAGGTCCCTTAGGCAGGCAGGGACCCCAAATCTGGCAGGGCCAAGGGAAGGGGTGCCCAGGGGACATGGGCTGTGGTGGCCAATGAACCATCAGGATGAAGTCTAGGGGTTATGGGGACATGGCACCTTCCTGCTAACCCCACTAACACCTGGTTGCTGGATGGGCTCTGCTTGGTGTCAGGGGACAGCTGGCCAAAGGGCCATGGGTGCAGGATGGAGGAGAATGTTGAGGGGCGGTCCCTGCAGAGAGGATGGTACTGGGGGAGAGGGCAGGGGCAGCACGGGAACTGTGGTATCAAACAGGGAAAGGAAGTAGGAGGGTCAAAGGGGAATGGAGTTATTGGGGTGTGGATGGGGGGGTGGCAAAGGAGAGGCAGGGGTGGGGGAGTGAGAGTGTTAGGTTTGGGGTGGTGGGTGTTCAGAAGGAGTTGTAGTGGTGGTGGAGGAAAAGGGAGTTGAAGGTGAGGGGGTGTCTGGTGGAGGTCTGAGAAGTCATGGAAGTTAAGAGAGCAAATGAGGGTGTGGGGCTGGATGGGTTCTCAGGTGGCTCATGAGGCTCTGGGGATGGCAAGGGGGGATTGAAAATGTCCATTTGGGATGGAGGGGTCCAAGGAGGACCCAAGAGGATGGGTGATGGGGATGACAAAGAGGACTGGGGCTAACTGGGGTGTCAAAATGGATGGTTGGTGGTGCCATGGGGGATAATGGCAAATTGGGGGCTTTTCAGGGTGACTGGAAAATTTGGGACTGGGGAGTCAGAGAGGGATGAAGAATTGTGCCTGGAGGCCTGAAGTGGGAGGAAGTATTTGGGGTCAGCACAGAGGGGCCGAGGACAGTGAAGGGTTGGGGTGTGGGGTGGCTGTGTCAGCAGGGCAGCCTGGCACCTGGGTTGGGGCACTGGGGAGATGAATGGGAGGATGGAGAGGGGGAATGAAGGAGGCAGAGGGAGGGAGAGGGGATGGAGGGAGACATGAAGTGGAGAAGGAGGGATGGGGGGTCAGAGAGAGGGAAGGAAGGCAGGAAGAATGGGGCGTCAGAGGGAGGGAGGGAAGGAAGGGTGGAGAATCAGAGGGAGGGATGGAGGGAGGCAGGGATGGATGAAGGACGGAGGCAG